CATCCATCCATCCATCCATCCATCCATCCATCCATCCATCCATCCATCCATCCATCCATCCATCCATCCATCCATATACATTCATTCATTCATTTAGGCAGAGCCAGTGTTGTGCGAATTTCAGTTCCCCTGTGAAAATCTGTTCCCCCTACTGGTTAACCTTAGAGAATCACWGGTCCAGGCAAAACGTCAGACCAGAGGGAGGCGCTTCCAACCCAGGGGGAACAGATTTTCACAGGGGAACTGAAAATCGTACAACACCGGCTCTTGGCATAGGCGAACTAGGCGGTCGCCTAGAGCGCCATCTGCTGGAGGGGGTGCCGAACTGCAAAAGGAAAAAAAAGTAATTATTTGTAATCCCTGGTTGTAACTCTGCTCAGCGCCCCTTTCAGTTAGCATTGCCTTAAAATTATAATGAAGTATTACAGGAAAAATAAACTGCTCTACCCATAAAACATTTTGAAAATGAGGTTTTGAAAAAATCCGTAAGACTTGAAAAATCTCTGAGATTGCCCTATACGTCCGTACACCTGCAAAATGATGTAAAATCCTTATAACTTACGGACAATACGTACAAGTTGACAAGTATCTTGTTATTTATTTGATTTCTGGGAAAGCAAATAAATCTAAGTTTACCATAGTACTTTTCACTGTCAAACTTGTTTTTAGGGGTTCAAATTGGGGTTGATGGGACATAGTTCGGGGGTGGGGGGGTTGCGCTTCAACTCGCCTAGGGCACCAAAATGGCTAGAGCCAACACTGCATTTAGGGTTCAAAAGCACCCAGCAGCTTGCAAATTTCTATTTTTTAAAATAATTTTGTGTGTAAAATTGATGATTTTTCTTCATTAACTTTTAAGTCAAATGACCCAAATTTCACATTTGCAGAGCTGACAAAGCCCAGTATCTTGAGCTGGTTATAAACTTTTGCTAACATGTTCTAATATAATTTTTTTTCATATACTATTAACCCTGGTGTTTTCATTCATTTGATACTGTCATTATTTTTACTCTATTATTAAAATGACATTTGAATATTCATCACTGAGACATTTTTCTGCTTCACCACAAGCTAAACAGTAAATGTGTAAGAACTCTTAAGAATTCTCACAAATTGTCCTCTAAAACTGCAGATTTTTGACTCTTTAAAGGCACAGTGTGTAGGATTTTGTCAATTCTTTTAGCCAAAATTGAGATAATCACTAATGACAATAATAAAAA